GGATGAAATTGATCCCCAGATGATAAATGTGACATTCAAAGACGTCCGAGGTGTAAGTGTAGAAATCTTGCTCTCTCAAGTTCTCAACTTCGCACATTTACGCTTTTATTGCTTGGATTTTTAAGGTTGATGAGGCGAAAATGGAATTACGTGGGGTCGTTTCATACTTGCGTGATCCGGACAAATACATGCAGCTTGGTGCTCGACTTCCAAAAGGCGTTCTCTTGGTTGGTCCACCTGGAACAGGCAAAACATTATTAGCAAAAGCAGTTGCTGGTGAAGCCCAGGTGATTTTTTTTTTCACTGCATTCGAATGCATTTTTTTATGCTGAGCTTCACCATAAATCACCTTGAATTTGCTTTTAAATAGTTCTCGAAAGAGGAAACAGTTGGCAGCCCTGCCACCGGGTGCAACTGCTTTTAGTATAATAAATAGCAACGCGCACCAGACTAGCCGGTGCGATTATGCGTTTCGTGCAATTCAGCCTATCGAACAATCGTTCGCCTATTGATGATTTTTACTGCTTTGCACTTTAGTCTATGCAGAAATAGTTCAAACACTGGAAAACAGTTAAAAATTTCACGCACCAGCGCAGGAAAGCTGAATTCGAAACCTTGAAGGACGAATATCTTTCTGTGGTTCCCGAGTTAATAGTTTATCCGCCAAAATTTTCACGAGGCCATAGGTGGTAACCGAGAGGGCGAGAACTCTGATTTTGAATGGACAAGGTTAAGCGTGGGTAGGTGGTCAGTATTCTTAAATTTCAGCCTTCTAGACTCCGTGGTTCCCGAGATATAAACTTACCCGTGAATAACTTTCACGGGGCCGTACTTGTTACCCGCGGGCAAGGGAAGGCTGAATTTGAATGAGCAAGGTTGATGGTGGACAGGGGGTCATTGACTTAAAACTTCAGCCTCCTAGACTCCGAGGTTCCCGAGATATTAACTTACCCGTGAATAACTTTCACAGGGCCGTACTTGTTACCCGCAGGTAAAAGAAGGCTGAATTTGAATGGGCAAGGTTGAACGTGGGCAAGAGGTCATTACCCTAAAACTCCAGCCTCCTAGACTCCGTGGTTCCCGAGATAATATTAACTTATCCGTGAAAAACTTTTACGGGGCCGTACGCGTTACCCGCGAGTACGGGGAAGCTGAATTTAAATTTGCGGGGTCACACGTGG